ATAATTCGGACTCCCTGTCGTAACGGCGCCGGTGGTGGTCATTGCTGCGGCCCCTCTCCTTCCCCCGCCTCATCTGATGGCCGCGTTTTCCACCACCACCACCACCACCACCATTAGTTGCCTCCTCCTCCTCCTCGTCCTCCTCCCCCCATCCAACTTATGGTGGTGGTGGTGGTGGCGGCGGTGGAACACAGGCCCATCATCATCCTCCGGGCTTTCGAGCCTGCGAGTTCTATCTCAGTGCCGCTGCCACCGACGAACATGAAATGCTGAGTTGTTTCCTCCTCGATGTGCCGCTCGGCGCGCGGCGCGGCGGCGTCCCGTCCCACGCTTGCGTGGGGGTGGATTCACCTGTGACGCGGCTCCGGTACAGTGGATGGGGCTCTTCCGGCCCCCCCATGCGAGCGCGGGACAAGCTAGTTTCTAGTAGAGAGGGAACGGGCCGCGTCGGCCACGATCGACCTTTCTGGCTTGGCGACTTCACTGTAAGCTGCGCATGTTCATCTCCATGTGTCGCTTGACTTCGGTTTTTCGGCTGCTCTACCGTGGAAAAATCAGCATTGCCAGCGTTACCATCATCATCGCCCGCGTCACCTTCATCACCATCAACCCCATCAGCGTCGTCATCATCATCACCACCTTGATTGCAATCGCACTCGCCACTATCACCACCGCAACCACCACTACCGTCACCGTCATCATCATCATCATCATCAGCAGCAGCAACGCCATCATCACACTCATCATCAACATCAGCACCAGCAGCACCATCATCATCAGCATCATCATCCGTAGCCCAGTGCGGCTCATCCCTGTCCTCATTTAGTCTTCAGTCGGCGCTGGCCCCGCGGGAAGCAGAGTGGAGACATTTTGGGGGACGTTTGCGGCTGAGTGCAAAGATGCCCCAATGGCGGCGAGGTCGCCGCGCGCGGCTGGCGCCGAGCCCCCGTGGCCCGCGAGGCGCGGGCGCAGGCGCGGCGCGCTCGGCGGTCGAGGGGCGCCCGGTTGCGGCCCCGCCCCGCGTGGAGAGGCTGGAGGGCGAGGTGCGCTGTGCGCGGGCGGCCTGCATGCCTTCGGTTCCCGCGGGGAGGCCCGACGCCGACTCCGGGGCCAAGGTCCAGGCCGGTGACGAGCAGCGGCCGGGTTTCATGGCGCCGCGCGTCCACTTTGGTGTCACGTCCGCGATGGCCTTGGAGGCGTGCCGCGTGGAGTAGCAGGAGCGGGAGGCGGGCCACGCGGCCGCCCCTCCCGCGCCCGCCGCCGATAGTCGTGGGGAGGCGCAGCACGGTAACGCACAACTTCGGAGCGCAGGCGGCCGTGATCCACATGACGGACCAGAAGGAACTCAAGACAGTGCCGCGCGGGGCTCGGAGGGCAGCGCCGAGGCGGCGGCCTTCCCACCGGCGCCGCCCCGCGCTGTCGCTGCACCGGAGGCCTGCTGCTACTGTTGGGGCCGCCCACCGCCGCCGCCAGCCTGCGGCGCGGGCGGCTTGCGGCGCGATGCCGATCGGGCGGGGCCGTCGCTTGCAAGCGGGCGCGGAGCCTCCCAGCCGGGCGCCGCCATGACTTCGCCGACCACGCGCGCGGGGCAAGCGAGCCTGAAATGGCCAGCTCCACTTCGAGGGTTCAATATGGGGGAAGGCCCGCGCCGAAGCCGTCGGGCGCGAGGCCCCTGCGGAGGGCGGCTTGGCTGCGGGCGTCGGCGACTCGGTCTCCGATGGGGGGGTAAGGGGTCCGAAGATCACGCGGCGGTTCTCGTGACGCCTCAGTTCGCGAACGGCGAAGTGGAGGAGTCGCACAATGTGGACGCCGTTGCCGATGGTGCCTTGGGCGACGGCGGTGGCCTCAACGTCGAGGAGGACGCGCGGATCGACCTCGGCATCCAGCGGCGAGACGCACACGTGGACGAGGAGGCCATAGCGTGGCTCATGGCGGAGTTGCGGGCCGACCTCCAGACGCAGGTCGGCGTCGCTCGCTCGGGCGCCGCAGCCGTCCGTGCCGCGCGGCGGGCGCGCCCTGGTGGCGAAATTCAGGGCTCGGGCGCGGAAGTACGGTCAACGCGCATAGTAAGGACAAACGGCTTTTTCAAGGGTGCCCTTGGGTCCTTGCCTGCCTCAGCCTCTGCGGCCCATTCCTAGCAATTTTCGCAGGCCACTTTCTCAGGTTCCATGGGGGTTTGGCCGCCTGCCGCCCAGAATACTTCAACTTCGGCCTCCAAGGGTCTTGCGTCCTTACCACGCGTCCTTACTATACGTTTTCACTGTAGGCCGCGGGCGGGGGCCGCGGCACCCATTCGGCGCCGCGTGATGCTGCGGCCCGCAACCATAGTTTCCGTTGTTATGCAGTGGCGCGAGGAGGACCCTCGCGCCAAGAGTTTCAGAGCCGCCTGGGCTATGAGAGCCGCAGTGTGGCGGTGCAGTGGCCTGGCTTGTTGCTGGAGGCGCGGACCCCAATTTCCGGCGCGTGTGCAATGGTCGCCGCGTTTCGCCAATGGGCCGTTGCTGTCCCGTGTCCGTCTCTTTGCGGTGCAGGGCCTGGTTGGAGATGTAGAGATGTACTTGTTGGCGCCCGATGCGGTTTCGAACCCAGTGGTCCGCCGAGCGCGGCGCGTATCATGCTCGTGGCTCCAGGCGGGTCCGAGGATCGCGAATGCCTGCGACGAGCGTGCCGCTGCCGTGTTCGAGCGCGTCGCCTCTGTCACGTGGAGGCGATTGGCCGCCGCTGGTGTGGCAGCTGTGTCAACCCAGAGCCTGGCAGGCATTCGCATGTGCCGAGTGAGCGCGGCCGACGCTGCGGGCGAGGCGCCGAGGAAATCGTTCGGGTTCGGGCGGCTTGTGAGCTAGGGCTCCAGACCATCTTGGACGCCGCGCGACGTATCATGAACATGTTCAGCATCACCATCGTCATCACCATCATTATCCGCATCGTCATCACGTCTTCCTCAGAATTAGCACTAGCCTCATCATCATCATCATCATCATCATCATCATCATCATCAGCATCATCATCATCACCGTCCGCATCATCATCATCATCATCATCATCATCATCAGCATCAGCATCAGCATCATCATCATCATCATCATCATCATCATCATCGTCATGCTCATCATCATTATTATTGTTACCATCGTCATCATCATCCTCCTCCTCCTCATCATCATCATCATCAGCATCACCATCATCGTATTTGCCTAATTCTCCCCGTGCGCCAGTTGCCTACCCCGCGCGCGCCCCCGCTCGGCAGCTGTACCCGCTCAGAGCGAGCGGTAGGGATGCCGGTCCCCGCGAGCTCCAGGCGCCGACCGCCGCCGCCAGGGCTGGGCGCTCGGTGTGGTCTCCTCGCCCGCCTCACCTCGCTCTCCGTCTCTTCTCCCCTCCTCTTTCCTTGTGTTTTCCTCCTCCCCCCATCCTTCTCCCTCTGATCATCCTCGTTCCCTCCGTCCACCTCTTTCTTGCCCTTCGTCCTCGTCCACCTCCACATCCTTTTTTTCAGAATCCTTCCCCTATTCCTCCTCGATGGCCCTTAATAGTTCCTGGGCTCCCTGGCTGAAAGTGAGGAGGGGGAGCTCACGCGCGTTGACACCTACCGTGCGCACGCGTGTTTTGCGTTTCCTGTGCGCGCGCGTGTCTTTCCGCCTACAGCATAACAGCATGGGCAGTTTCTGAGCGTGCGGGGGCGCAACCGCGCACTCAGAGAGGATAGCGCGTGTACGCACGCGTGTTCTTTGTTTTCCTGGCAGCAGCGGTTCCGCGTCTTCCACGCGAGCGGGGTCCCACGCCCGTTTGGGGTCTCGGCGCTTGTAGTCTTCCAACCAAGGCATGCAAGCGGCCAGCAGGCATCCCCCAGCGACAGGCCCGCCAGACACCCCACCCTTTCGGACCATAGTTGCAAGCGCCCCCCCTTGGGTTACAGGCACCCCTCCCCCAAATCATAGGTATTGTCCCCCTCCTTGCGCCTTATTTTTCGACGGATGCTGTTTTCAGAGTGTGGTTCCCGACTGATGCAGGCGGTGATGGCTGTTGGTAGTTGTTCGCTAGCATCAGGAAGGCATATGCCACGGTACCGGCGTTGTCTGGGCCTTGAACCCATGAGTTCGTCGTGCAGCTGAGTCCTATGCCTCAGCTGCCGCGGGACAATTCGGGATTCCTGAGCCGGGAGGCTTCTTTGATTTCTCGCATGCAGTTATTTGTTTTCATTTACGAGTTGAGGGTCTTGAGTCTCCAGCCGACGAGTCTGAGTATTGTAGTCACGGTGAAAGGCCATGCCGTAGAGAGCTCTGCCACGAGTGCGGAAGACAGATACTGCAAGGTAGAGAATGACGCAGCGGATCGAATGTCCAAGGATGACACGGGCCGTCGCCCTAGCCCGATACCGTAGCACGTTGCTGCCATTGACCGGCCACAGAGTGTCTTTAAATTCGGCTTCTCGAGTTTGTCGGTATGACACCCCGGGCCTGTCAAGCATGATTCAGGACGCAGAACTACACCGGATGAAGGGGTCGGCACTTCTCGGGGCTACACTACGACTCAGCAGCAACAACACAAACGTCGGATGTTTGCGGGGGGGGGTGCGGGGTGTCGGAGGGACGCCCTGTCCTGGAAGTATGCGCGTGTCTTTTCCCTCCTCCCAAATGAGGTCCGAGTAGGTGGGGTCGACTTATCGCGCCGCATCGACGACGTATCGGCGATGCGGCTAAATGTGGAGCCCGACGTTCTCCACGCCGACGTCGCCGATGCATCGCTGATGTCGACGATGCATCGCCAATGCATCGGCGATGCATCGCCGATGCATCGGCGATGCAGCGCGATCCTCCGACCCCATCTACTCCGACACCATCCAGGGGGCTTCTAGTCTTCCAGCCTGGCGCAGCGTGCATGACTCTCCGACAAGCGAGCAGGTGGAGGAGGAGGAGGAGGAGCAGCAGCAGCAACAGCAGCAGATCTCACTCCTACCCCCCTCTCCCCACATGCGAGGCGAGCGCTTGTCGCAGGCGGCAATGGCCGCCACGATCAGCCCCAGAGGGCCTGCCGCTGAAGGCTCGGCGCCGCGCTGGGGAGCGGAGGATGGCGAAGGCGCCGCCCCTGGGGTGGGAGGGCACGGGAGGGGAGGGGGAGGGGGAGGATTTCAGGATGCCGTTAGGTTGCTGGACTCCCGCGGGTCCTGCAGGCCGCCAGGGGGAGGATGAGGAGGAGGAGGAGGAGGAGGAGGAGAAGGAGGAGGAGGAGGACGAGGAGGAGGAGGAGGAGGAGCAGGAGGAGGAAGATGGAGAGGGAGCGGGGAAGGGAGTGAGGGGGAGAGAGAGCGAGAGAGAAGGTGGATAAGGAAAGACGAGGAGGAGGAGGACCAGTAACTTAGTGGGGATAATAATGATGATGGTGGTGCTGATGATGATAATGTTATTGCTGATGAGGATGACGTTATTGATGATGATGGTGGTGATGATACTGATAATGATGCTGATGGCGATGATGATGACGATGACAATGATGCTGCTGATGATGATGATGATGAGGAGGAGGAGGATACCGATGCGGATGCTGTTGTTGATGGTGATGCTGATGTTGATACTGATGGTGACGTTGATGTTGCTGATGATGATGATGATGATGTTGCTGAATGTGATGATGATGCTGACGATGATGATGATGATGATGATGATGATGATGATGATGATGATGATGATGCTGATGATGATGATGGTGAAGATGATGAGGATGAGGAGGATGATGAGGATGATGCTAATGCTGATGCCGACGATGCTGATGATGATGATGCTGATGCTGATGATGATGATGACGATCCTGATGACGATGATGATGATGATGATGGTGATGATGATGATGATGCTGATTGTGTGTATGCTGATGATGACAGTGAGGCTGGTGCTGTTTATGTGTATGTTTATGGTTACGATAACGATGCTGATAGTTATGATGCTGATGCTGTTGATGATGATGACGGTGACGGTGGCGGTGACGAGAACGGCTACGACAACGAAGATGTTGATGATGATGATGATGATGATAATGATACTGATGATGTTGATGATGATGATGATGATGATCCTGATTATCATAATGATCATGATGTTGATGATGATGAGGAGGAGGCTGTTGCTGATGTTGATGCTGATGCTGATGTTGATGCTGTTGTTGATGCTGATGCTGATGATGATGCTGATGATGATGTTGATGTTGATGCTGCTGATGATGCTGCTGATGATGATGCTGATGATGATGCTGATGCTGATGATGCTGATGATGCTGATGATGATGATGATGATCATGATGATGATAATGATGATGCTGCTGATGTTTTTTTTATGATGGTACTGCTGCTGCTGCTGATGCTGATGATGATGAGGAGGAGGAGGAGAAGGAGGAGGAGGAGGAGGAAGAGGAGGAGGAGGAGGACGACGACGACGATGAGTAATTAGGAGAAGGGGGTTGGGAGGAAGAGGAGGAGGGAGAAGGAGGCACTTTCTGCGCGAGGCACTTTCGCCTGTCCTGGGTCCGGGCCCGCTGCGTCTCGGCGCGCGCGCGCCGCCGCCCCTCAGTGCCCCTGGGCCGACGCGGCAAGGAGCGCCGGTCGTAGGCGCGGGCGCCTCTGCCCTAACCCGCCACGCCCCCCACCCGCCCTCGCCCTCGCGCCCAACGCCCCCGCGCGCGAAGCGAGACCCACCGGGCTGACCCTCGGCGCGAACGCGGTGATCTCCTCCGCGTCGCTCATGGCCCACAGCACCACGTCGTTGTGCGGGCACGCCGCGCGCAGGGGGCGACCACAGGGCATGCTGTCAGCAGGTGCCCGAGGCACTCCTCCAGCGCGCACGCCGCTCCTTGGAGCCAGAGCGGCGCAGGACGGGCACGTGCACGGGACAGCGGCGACCCCAAGGGTCACCCAGACTTCCACTGGAGCGCGGCCACACGCCCGCGCCTGTGCCCCGGCCTGCTAACGACGCCGCGTCGTACGCCCCCACGGCGCTCACCGTGCGCCAGGAGGAGGCTGCGGCCCCCGCACCGGAAGCGAGTCCCGTCAGGGGACGAGTCCACGGGTACCCAGCGCGCCCAGCGGCAGGATGGTCCATGCCTGGCCGCATACCAGCACTGGGCCGCCGGGGGAGCAGGAAAAAATGCCTGGGCGTGCACCTGGACGGCCGGCGACGCCACCCAGCGTTTCCACTGCTTCATGGCCCGCCCGCGCGCCTCGGGGTCCGCGCGTGCCGCCTCGGGCAGCGCATCGGCAGGGAAGTCACTGGTCATGCGTGTTTGGGCCATCTCGCGGGCGTGGCCCAGCCACGCAGCACGTGTCGTCGCCCGCGCACCTGCCACTGCTTGCGCCACGGGCTTCCCGAGCGACAGCGCAAGCAGTCGCGCCCGACCATGCACGATCCGCTGCACTAGCGTGTACCCCAACGCGTCAGCATGCGCGTCTCCGCCAGCGCGCGGACGTGCCCACGCGTACTCAGGGACACACACACACACACACAGCCCCCCACCTAGCAGCTCCCTGGCGGCCTCGTACTGCACGCTACTCTCGCGAGCCACCGCACGGCCTGCCAGCCAGGGGCGACGCTTGCCAGCAACTCCGCGCCCCAAGAAGCCTTGGCTTTGACGCGCGCGGGGAACCGCGCCGCCAGGCACGGCAGCCCGAATCCCCGCTGCGCGAGGGCGGTCGTCAGCTTGCGCGTGCCCTCGCACAGCCGAGAGCACGCGCGGCCCCACGAAGGGTGAGTTCCGAGGTCGGCCTCCACTGGCACTCCCAGCACACCGAGGAACTGAATAGACTCCGGCGGCATGCCGCACACCGTGCCGAAGTTTCAGGAGGGACAAAAACACACACAGACACAATTAATCGTCGACTCCCCAGAAAATAAGGGAAAATATAGGAAGTGGGGGGGGAGACAAAAAACCGAGCAATATGGGAAAAATATAGGGGGAACCTTTTATTTGTGTGTATTTATTTGTGTGCCCCAGGGCCCCTTCAAAGTTGTCCGATTCCAGGGTTCCCCCGACGGCCAGCGCCACCGGGCGCTTACGACCCTCTCGGAAGCTGTGGCGCCAGGTCAGACGGAACCCCGTCAGGGGGCGGGTCCCTGCAGCCAGCCCCGCGGGGGGCGCTTGAAAAACGAACGAGCCGTCCACGATTGGGAGGAGCAGGAGCGCATGGGCAGCCACCACGTCATGGAAGACGCAGCCGTCCGCCAGTGCACCAAGCGCCCGCGAGTGCCACTGCCAGTTGGGCAACCCAGGCCTCGCAGACACCAGACACTCCTCGGCGCGCACTGCCACCAAGGCACAACCGTGCCCCTCACGCGGGGGCGGACGCACTGCTCTCGCGGAACGCGCGCGCAGCCGCCGCTGGCGGGCCGACCCCGACGCCCGCCGCCTCCGACAAAACTTGGGGCGGGCGGTTTTGGACTGTTTTCGGCCTCAGGGGGGGCCCTCGCCGGGCCTCGGGGGCAAAAAACAATTCAGGACGAACAGCCGGCCCTAGGGAAGGTGGTCTGGACCTCCGGGGCTGGAGCAGCTGGACGTGTGGGGTCTTGCCGCTGTCCACCGCCGTTTTTGCTCTCTTCGCCTCCTTCCCGCGCGCGCGCGCGCGTTGGAGGGGGAGCCCGCGCGCGCGCGCGCGTTGGAGGGGGAGGCGCAGGGGAGGGGGGGGGGTATCTCGCGCCGCAGCATGGAAGGGAAGGGAAGGGAAGGGAAAGTCGCGAAAACTCAAACAGGGAGCGGGTCCTGCTTCCATGCAAGATCGGCACGCTGCGTCGCCAAACGAGGCGCCCTTGCGTCGCCAAGCGAGGCGCCCCCCATCCACGGATCCGTAATCCAGGATAGTGCACGCCCGAGAAAGGACGGACGGGGGAAGGAGCGACGAGCCAGACATTCGCACCCCGCGGGTTGAGTTTGGCCGCGCCCTTGGAAAAGTTCGATTGGTTGTGCAGCCGAGGAGAGTCGAGCAGTGGCGAAGCGTCCTGGCTTATGGGCCCTCCAAAGAATATGACCGTAACGTTTTTGGGTCTGCACGAAATGCTCTTAGAACAGTTCTGGGATTGTCTTGTTTTAATGTGTTGGGCTTATCTTATGAGAGCATGGTGTTTGTTCTTAGGACCTTGTATTCGTTCTAAGAAATTCCGTGGTAGGCCTACAGGAATGCCGGGACGGTCGGTCCCTGCTCAGGAGAGAGGCAGGAGGAGGAAGAGGAGGAGGAGGAGGAGGAGGAGGAGGAGGAGGACGGATCCGGAGGACGAGGCGGATTGTGCCACAGTCGAAGCCGACAGTATAAATGGGTCACCTTCCCAAGGGTGCCCGTGCATCGCTGCCTCATCAGCCCATCCTTAACCCCCTTCGATTGCCAGCCCCGCTCGAATGCTTTGACATGGGCGTCCAAGGGGCGTGTATCCGTATCGCGCGTCTTTATTATCAGTGTCCTTGCATTTGCTGCTTGACTTTTCCCCTTCGTTCTATGTCCTCTCTTGGGCCGCTTCGAGGACGCAGGTCGTGGCCCTTGGTCGGCGCAGAGCGCCAGGCCAAAACTCTTCTGGTCATCGGATGCTCAGGGAATGGAGGAGGAGGAGGAGGAGGAGGAGCAGGAGGAGGAGGAGAGGAAGGAGGAGGAAGGAGGAGGAGGGGAGGAGGAGGAGGAGGAGGAGGAGGAGGAGGAGGAGGAGAGGGAGGAGGAGGAGGGAGGAGGAGGAGGAGGAGGAGGAGGAGTAGGAGGAAGAGGAAGGGGATGAGGAGGAGGAGGAGGAGGAGGAGAAGGAGGGAGAGAGAGAGGAGAAGGGGCAAGCCTCCGGCGGCGCCTCCTCGGATCTCCTCGGTCTCGCCATGGGGGAAACGGGTCCTGAAGGACACGGGCCCTGAGGGCTTTCGCTGTTCTCAGGCTCTCGGGGCCCTCCATGGGCCCCAGGACTGTCAGAAAACGGCTCGGGAGGAAGAGCTGGCCTTGGAGGAAGGCCCCAGGGTCCAGGACCCGTTTCCCTTAGGACCCGCTTCCCCCATGCTAGCGGGGCGGCGGAACGAATCGCGGTTGTTCTCGCCAGCTACTTTGGGGCGAAAGAGACGGAGGGGTGAAGCAGAGGTGTGTGTGAGTGGGGGAAAATCGGTAATTCCTCGCCTCTCTTCTTTACTTGCTTCACCTACTCGGTCGGACCCGAATCGACGACGTGTTTTTTTTCGCAGCGGGGCTCCACAGCGGTCTGGATCCCTTCGGAGGGACCGGCTTTTCATCCTGGGCCGCGGTTTGCTGGCCCTGGGGCATTGCAAGGGCCCAGGATGCCGAAGACGGTGCACGCACAGGCACACGCACACACACGCGCGGCACACGCACACGCACTCTGACATCCTCCGTCGTGATTTGTTTTATTTTTGGACTTACGTCACACCGCCAGACCCCGTGAGGGACTGGCGATTGTGGCGTGTTGCTCCTCGGGACCTCGTGGGCGCCTTTTGGAGGCTTCCTGGTGCCCTGTTGGGCGCTCCATGGCGGCCTCTGGGGGGCCTCTTGGACTTTCGTCGGGGCTTCTTAGGGCCTGGGGGGGTCAGCGTGTGAGATACTTCCACCACCCCTCCCCCAACGCCTCCACCGGGAGCCTGGTCGAATTGGAGGGCGGGGGGTCCGCCCGGATCCCCCGGGGCCGGGCCCGAACGCATCATCGGAGGATAGAGGGCCCCACAACGGGCCAAGAGGGCCGCAGGAGGCCCCCCGAGATGGTCCAAGAGGGTCCCGGACTGCCGAAAGATCCTCCAGGACGGCCAAGATGGCATCCAGACGGCCCAAGACGCCCCCCCAAACGCGCCAGGAGGCCTCCAAGAGGCCTCCTAAGATGGCCCCAAGAGGCAACATCACTATGGTTTTTGAAAGATAATGGCGTTCTCGCCTTTTCGATTCCCCGACGCTCCACGACGGCCCAAGAGGCTTCCAAGATCCCCCCTGACGGCCCCAGAAGCCTCCAAGAGGGCCCCTAAACGGCAAAAGAGGGCACCCACGCGGCCCCAACGACGGCCTCAGAGGCTTCCAACATGGCCCAAAAGAGCCCCTGGGCCGCCCCAAGAAGGGCCCCGAAGGGGAACCCGAGCTCACATGTCGAGCCCTCGGGCGACACCCCAAGGGGTCGGCGGATTTTGCCGCCACGTGCGCATTCCAGTGTTTTTGATAGGGATGTTGGGCCTGCACACGGGGTAATCTGACACCCCCCGTCGTCGTGTAAAAGAACAATGCGCAGTGATTGCGGGACGCCCGAAGATGATCCAGATAATGTCGCAAAGCGCATAGTCCAAACCCGTGGGACATTGGCGGAGTTGGCCCCCTGGAAGCCCTCTTGGGAAGCTGAATGGGGCTCTCGTTGAGTGTTTTCGGAGCTCCTGGGGTCGTTTTGGAGCCGTCGTCGGCGTCTTGGAGCGAGATGTGGGGCGTGTCGGGACCTTTTTGGGCAGTGTATCCTTTGCTCGCGAAGGAGTGCCCTGGGGCCCCCTGCAATTGCGGCACTGCCCGCACCAGCAGTAGTAATGTCTGCGGCTGACTTTTTCAGTGTTCGCCTCGGGCAAATCCCGCCGCCTTGCCTCGGCTGTGGTGACATTCTCCGTCGTGATTTGCTCAACTCCACCACGGGGCACGTCGGGGTCCTCCCCCGCCCAGCCCGAGCTGCCCGCCCCGCCCCGCCAGGCGGCGACGCCGGCCTCGCCGCGGGTGGCCCCGTCGACGCCGGCGTGGGCGACGACGGCGCCAGCGACGCGGGAAGCGCGGAGAGCTCGGCGGAGCGCCGCCAGCGGCGCGGCGGCGCAGAGGGCTTCCGCCTACGGCGACGGCGACGACGACGACAACGCCGACGCCGACGCCGACGACGCCGACGCCGACGCCGACGCCGACGCCGACGACGACGACGACGACGACGACGACGACGACGACGACGACGTCGAGGCAACCGCCGAGCTTGACGTCGAGGCGAGACGGTGGCGATGAGCGGCGGCGAGCCCAGGCCATCGCATCGTGAAGATAATCGTGGCACGAGCACAGAGCCAGGCAAGAGAGGCGAGTCTGGGCCGTGCCCGAAGAGCATGCTCCAGCACCGCCGAGGACACACCTTTGGCAGCACCGACGAAGCTGGAGTTGGGCGCAGGCTCGGTCGGACCCTCCGGGCTGGCCGCAGAGAGCAGCCAGCGGGGCAGCAAGGATCGCCACCCCAGGCCACTTCGGCCAGAAAAAATCGCGGCGAGCGGTTCTTGGCAGGTTGAGGGCCTCCGTCGGCGGCTCACGACGCGGAGCTCAGGATGAGAAGCCGGCCCGTGGAAGGGGTCTGCGCCGTGGCAAGGAGGAGGAGGAGGAGGAGGAGGAGAAGGAGGAGGAGGAGGAGGAGGAGGAGGAGGAGGAGGAGAGGAGGAGGAGGAGGAGGAGGAGGAGGAGAAGCCGGCCCTATGGAAGGGGTCGAGACTTTTTGGGGGCCTGCGCCGTGGCAAGAGCTGCGCCGGCGGGGGCCGCTGGGAGGCGCTGCGAGGGCGAGGGCGACAGCAGGCGCGCGGCGGAGCGCCGACAGGGAGCGCGGCGGCGGCGCAGAGCGCGAAGACGTCGGCGAGGGGCGGGGGGATCGGGCCCCGAGGGCGCGAGGGTGCCCCCTCCTCTTCCTCCTCCTCCTCCTCCTCCTCCTCCTCCTCCTCCTCCTCCTCCTCCTCCTCCTCCTGCTCCTCTTCCTCCTCCTCCTCCTCCGCCCGCGCTTCGTGCGCTGCGGCCTGGGCCAGTGAGCGGCCCTTCCTGCAGGGAGCCGCCGCGAGGGCGCAGGGGAAGGCAGCGCGCCGCGCCCCGCGTGGCCCAGCAGAGGTGGCAAGGGGGCACGAGGGGTAGGGTGTTAAGGCGGGCGTGCCCCTCTACAGGAGGAATGCTCAGAAATTTTCCAAAATTAATCGGGGGACGATGTTTGGTATATTTTGAGCATTGGAAGGGTATGTTTTGGGTGTGTTTAATTTTTCGTCCAAAATCCGCCTGTGGGGGGACATGCCCGACCGAAAGGTAGGAGGCAGCAGGAGTTCTCCGCGACGGGGGGCGAAGCAAGGGCACGCGGGTGCAGGCAGCTCTGCATTGCGGGCAGAACGGAGCGCGCCGCGGCCCACCCTCACTCCACCCGTGCGGGCTGCGCGCCCCTGGCCCCTCCTATTCTCGGGGGGCCCCAAATGGTGCGGTGACCACACCGTGTGGTGAGTCGGTGGGGATCCGGGGTCACCGCACGGTGTTGGGACTCGAGTCCCTCGGAGGGCCTCCGAGGTCCCAGAACCGTGCGTTGACGGACCGTGCGGTGAGGTCTTGGGGGATTTCGAGGTCACCGCACCGTTTCGGTACTCCAAATCTTCATCCTCTTGCCCGTAGGAGGTAAGGAGGGAGAGCGGCGGCGGCGGCATGATCAGGAGGATGAGGATCCATGGGAACGAGAATGGTACCCGCCAAGGTTGATCGGGCTCGTCACTTGACTCTTTCCCCCCATCTGCTCCCGCCCTGGTCTGATCCGCTTCCCACCATCCGATCCGCACGTTTGCCTCGCGCTCCCAGCCTTCGAGGGGCCGGGGGGAGGCAGGCGAAGGGAAGCTCGCTCCAGGGCCAGTCGAGACCTCGGCGGTCTCCCGCCCCCCTGCTTGGGTCGGGAGGTTGATGGACCTCCTACCCTGACACGTCGATTAAGGAATTGGCCGTTTTCGGCTCGCGAGAGGGCGTCGCGGCCGTCATTTTTGCGGGTCCAGGTCCGTCGCTTTCGGTCCTAGGCCGTTTTCACTAAGGGGAGGTTTACTAAAGGGAGGTTTGTCCACCGCCGAGTGGGTCCATCCTGGCCTGTTTTTCGAGGCGGGCCCGGTCGCGACGGCAAGAAGCCCACGGGAGGCCCGAAGACGGCAGGAGACGCCAGGGAGAGCGCCGCTGCCTCGACTGGCCCTTCGTCTTAGGCGGTGCTGACAAGCCACTGCCTGTCCTTCAGTCGGGCGTGTCCCTCTAGAGGAGGAACTTTCCAAATTAGTCAACAAGCAGTCTGGGGAAGATTCTTCGGCTGGTCTTGTATAGTTTTGAATATGTTTGACTTTTTCGATTTTCCTCCAAAATCCGCCTTTAGGAGGAGATGCCTGACCTTACACTATCCAGTCACCAGGGATGGGGTTTTCCAGTGTACTCCGTTGAAGCTGCTGCTTGCTTCGTTGCTGACTGGTTGCGCCCTCGTTAAAGGCGGCACCTCTGCGATTTCATGCGATGTCAAAGACGTGATAACCAGTCACCACAAACCAGTCACTACCCACGGCTCCTTTATGTGTTCTCACTCGACGTGCTACCCAGTCTGTGCTGATCAGTCTGGACGCGCTCAACGAGAAGGGACGACCAGTTCCGCTTCGCGCTCGGGCGGGGAGGAGAACGGCTGCTCCCCCCCCCCGACCCCCCACGCAGGAGAGCTGCAGCACCGACGACGGCCTGGGAGCCTTCTTCCAGGAGCTGGGGAGCAAGCTCTCCAGGGGGGGGGGGGCAGGGGCTTGGAGCTCGCCGACCCTCCTCCTCCTCCTCCTCCTCCTCCTCCTCCTCCTCCTCCTCCTCCTCCCTCCCCCTCCCTCCTCCTCCCTCCCTCCTCCCTCCCCCTCCCTCCTCCTCCTCCTCCTGGAAGTCAAGACGTTGCAGGCCCGCCGCCGCCCTGGGAGCGCCAAGGCGGCCAGGAGCGGCCAGCAGGGGCTTGCTTGCCCAGCGGTCCGGGTCGGAGGCTGCAGCCCGCAGGCCGGGAAGGTCTTCAACAGCTTCCTCGGAGCGAGAGAGAGAGAGAGAGAGAGAGAGAGAGCGAGAGCCGTGTCTTCGAGTCCTGGGGGGGACGCTCCAAGCCAGGGCTCTGCAGATCTCGCTGGGAGGAGACGAGAGCCGGAGAGAGCTCCGGCCCGCGGCTGCAGGTGTTGCTGGTGCGCCAGTGCCACGCTCTGCGGCAGGCCCGGGCCGATGCCGACGCGGCAGCGACCCCGTCGCGGGTTCGAGGCCGGAGCTTGCTGCTCCAGAAGCCCCCGTTCACGAGGCCCTGAGCCGAGCATTCGTGCTAGGATGCAACCCCTTTGAGGTACAATTCAGCACCCTCGCTGGTATATCCCGTGGTCCAAAGCTGGGCCGATTCGCGACGGGCCCGCCTATTCTGGCGAATCCCGCGCAACTCGGCCTATACCTCCTTGGCTACAGCCAGCCTGGTCTGGCGCAGTGGCCCTTCGGTCCGGCTCAGTAGCTTTTCAGTCGCTCTCGCGAAACCTTCCAGGAGTTGCTTCCGAACGTGTGCGTCTGTCGGAGGTCGATGGACCTCCTACCCTGACACGTCGATTAAGGAATTGGCCGTTTTCGGTTCGCGAGAGGGCGTCGCGGCCGTCATTTTTGCGGGTCCAGGTCCGTCGCTTTCGGTCCCTGGCCGTTTTCACTAAGGGGAGGTTTAGTAAACAGAGGCTTGTCCACAGCCGAGTCTGTCGCGGTTCGCAGAAACTGGCCGGGCTCTCGAGAGGACCTGCCCGGCCGCCGGCCTCGGGGCCCGCCTCGGCCTGCCTCGGGGCGGCCTTTCCGTGCAGGCGGGGGGGGCGCCTCGGGGGTGGGGGGGGGGGGCCCTCCTGGGGGCCTCTGGGGAGCGTTTGGGCCGCCTCCTGGGGCTCTTTCGGCGGCCTCGTGCGTGCCCCCTGGCGTTCCAGGGGCCTCTTCGGCCGTCGTCGGGTTCGGCCCCTCGGCCCGGAGGCCCTCGGCGCTCTCGTGGGCCATCCAGGGTGCCTCCTGGACTCTGGCACGGATCTTGGGGGCCTGTGGGCCAGAGGTCTTGCGGTGGCTCTTGGAAGCGTGCTGAGGTCCTCCTGGGCCAGCATTGGAGCCTTTCGGGAAGAAGATGGGGGCGATGGCGGGAACTCTTGGTTATTCCCCACATGCTTCGTGGGGTTCTGGTTTTCTTCCCACCCACGCCGCACCCGCGTCTCACCCACACCCGCCCTCCTCCCCTCCTCCTCCTCCTCCTCCTCCTCCTCCTCCCCTTCCTCCTCACGCACACAGCACAGCGCAGCGCAGCGCAGCGCAGCGCAGCACAGCACAGCACAGCACATCACAGCGCAGTGCACACAGCACAGCACAACACAGCACAGCACAGCACACACACACACACACCACAGGGGGTGCGCAGGGGGTGCGGTCTCTATCCGTCGCACGCTCGCAAAGCACGGCAGGCGTAGCAGTTCCTCGACACCAGGGGGGTGCGCAGGGGGTGCGGTCTCTATCCGTCGCACGCTCGCAAAGCGCGGCAGGCGTTGTTCCCCACATGTTTCGTGGGGTTATGGTTTTCTTCCCTGCCGCGGCGCACCCGCGTCTCCTCCTCCTCACCCTCCTCCCCTCCTCCCTCCCCCTCTTCCTTTCCTCACCCGCGCTCAACACATGCACGGCAAGTACGTGAGACACGCGTCTACATACAGCCGCACGCATGCACACACACTCGCACACACAACACACACACACACACTCACACACACACACACCATACAACGCTAGTGCGCGTCGGATACGTGGCAGGCGCAGCAGTTTCTCGACACCACAGGGGGTGCGCAGGGGGTGGTCTCTCAGTGCGGTCTCTATCCGTCGCACGCTCGCAAATCGCGGCAGGCGTGGCATTTCCTCGACACCAGGGGGGTGCGCAGGGGGTGCGGTCTCTATCCGTCGCACGTTCGCAAAGCGCGGCAGGCGTGGCATTTCCTTGACACCAGAGGGGGTGCGCAGGGGGTGCGGTCTCTATCCGTCGCACGCCCGCAAAGCGCGGCAGGCGTGACATTTCCTCGACACCAGGGGGGTGCGCAGGGGTGCGGTCTCCATCCGTCGCACGCTCGCAAAGCGCGGCAGGCGTGGCATTTCCTCGACACCAGGGGGGTGCGCAGGGGGTGCGGTCTCTATCCGTCGCACGCTCGCAAAGCGCGGAAGGCGTGGCATTTCCTCGACACCAGGGGGTGCGCAGGGGGCGCGGTCTCTATCCGTCGCACGCTCGCAAAGCGCGGCAGGCGTGGCAGTTCATCGACACGGGAGGGGGTGCGCAGTTGGTGCGGTCTGTATCCGTCGCACGCTCGCAAAGCGCGGCAGGCGTGGCATTTCCTCGACACCAGGGGGGTGCGCAGGGGGTGCGGTCTCTATCCGTCGCACGCTCGCAAAGCGCGCAGGCGTGCGGTCAGCGACGGTGCGCAGGTCATCGCACAAAGCGCAGAGGCGGGCATTCCTCGACACGGGGGGTGCGCAGGGGGTGCGGTCTCTATCCGTCGCACGCTCGCAAAGCGCGGCAGGCGTGGCATTTCCTCCACACCAAGGGGGGTGCGCAAGGGGTGCGGTCTCTATCCGTCACACGCTCGCAAAGCGCGGCAAGCGTAGCATTTCCTCGACACCAGGGGGGGTGCGCAGTTGGTGCGGTCTCTATCCGGCGCACGCTCGCAAAGCGCGGCAAGCGTGGCATTTCTTCGACACCAGGAGGGTGCGCAGGGGATGCGGTCTCCATCCGTCGCACGCTCGCAATGCGCGGCAGGCGTGGTAGTGCATCGACACGAGAGGGGGTGCGCAGGGGGTGCGGTTTGTATCCGTCGCACGCTCGCAAAGCGCGGCAGGCGTGGCATTTCCTCCACACCAGGGGCGGACGCAGGGGGTGCGGTCTCCATCCGTCGCACGCTCGCAAAGCGCGGCAGGCGTGGTAGTGTATCGATACGAGAGGGGGTGCGCAGTTGGTGCGGTCTGTATCCGTCGCACGCCCGCAAAGCGCGGCAGGCGTGGCATTCCTTCGACACCAGGGAGGGGCGCAGGGGGTGCGGTCTCTATCCGTCGCACGCCCGCAAAACGCGGCAGGCGTGGCATTTCCTCGACACCACGGGGTGCGCAGGGGGTGCGGTCTCTATCCGTCACACGCTCGCAAAGCGCGGCAGGCGTGACATTTCTTCGACACCAAAGGGGGGTGCGCAGTTGGTGCGGTCTCTATCCGGCGCGCGCTCGCAAAGCGCGGCAGGCGTGGCATTTCCACGACACCAGGAGGGTGCGCAGGGGATGCGGTCTCCATCCGTCGCACGCTCGCAATGCGCGGCAGGCGTGGTAGTGCATCGACACGAGAGGGGGTGCGCAGTTGGTGCGGTTTGTATCCGTCGCACGCTCGCAAAGCGCGGCAAGCGTGGCATTTCCTCCACACCAGGGGCGGCGCAGGGGGTGCGGTCTGTATCCGTCGCACGCTCGCAAAGCGCGGCAGGCGTGGTAGTTCATCGACACGAGAGGGGGTGCGCAGGGGGTGCGGTCTCTATCCGTCGCACGCTCGCAAAGCGCGGCAGGCGTAGCATTTCCTTCACACCAGGGGGGGTGCGCAGGGGGTGCGGTCTCTATCCGTCGCACGGTCGCAAAGCGCGGCAGGCGTAGCATTTCCTTCACACCAGGGGGGGTGCGCAGGGGGTGCGGTCTCTATCCGTCGCACGCTCGCAAAGCGCGGCAAGCGTAGCATTTCCTCGACACCAGGGGGGGTGCGCAAGGGGTGCGGTCTCTATCCGTCGCACGCTCGCAAAGCGCGGCAGGCGTAGCATTTCCTCAACACCAGGGGGGGTGCGCAGGGGTCGCACGGTCGCAAAGCGCGGCAGGCGTAGCAGTTCCGCGGCAGGCAAACACATAAGACTTAAATCAAGTATGTGGGGTTCCTCGGTAGCGTAATTTCGGGGCTTTTTCGGAGGCCAGCACGATATGTTAGACAGTGTTTCTTGCACATCGGTGTCTGCGTCCTTGGAGGCGACGAGACTCGTTGAAACCCCACGGCCCGCCAAAGTTGGGCCCACGGGAGGGACTTCCCCTAATAGAACATGCCTCTCGGCCACCAGACCTTCGTGTCACGTGCCCGTCGTGGCGTCGGCAAGGCAAGTCAAGGCGAGATGGTCTCCAATACAGCCACCAAGATGACGCGCGATGGTCCCATCCGCTAGGCCTTCATGAGGCATCCAGATCGCCGCAAGACTGCTCAAAGTGGCTACGAAGCCTCCCGAGAATGGTCCCGAGAGGCCAAGCATATTCGAAAACCAGGTGCATTGCCCATGAGATTAGCCTTATCGTGCTCCGGCTTCCGACTATGCGTTTGAAGCTTCAGCATGGCCTTGCGAGAGGCCACAGAAGGGCCCACCAAGGGCCCCAGACGGCCCAGAGTGCTCCCATGCGGACTTCAAAAGCGCCCCAAGATAGCCCCAGGACAGTCTTGAATTGCGACAAGGAGCGCATGACCTTGACGCTACGCTGGTCTCAAGACGCCCCCGGGATGGATCCTCACTTTCCAAAACCATTCAGCAGTCCCGCGACAGGCCCGAAAGGGCCCAAACCGACCCCAAAGAAGGCTCCAAGAGCGATCCAAAGGTGCTTCAAAACAGAGAGCTCTGAGAGGACTCCTCCCACCCTCAGATCCGAGCTCCCGCCGCAACAAGGATGATCGTCTGTTTCTCGTCCTTCTCTCTGCTGCTGGCCAGGGGCGGCCACCACGCCAGGTTGCCAAGCACATCCATTCGCTGGCAGGCGGGGAAATGCTGCGCTGTGGCTGCATAAGAATGAGCCCGGCGCGACCCCAAGTAGGGGAAAGCCCATGGCATGGGCGCATCCTTGGGCGCATCGCTTGGGATGGGTTGGCGTTGCTTGGCATTGCCGAGTAAACGGGGGATCCCGAGGAACCCGACCCGGTGAAACCGAGGAACCCAGGGAACCCGGGGAACCTCTGGGCAACGGGCAAAGTAATATTCCGCGGGCGGGGAACCCGAGGAACCTCCGAACAACGGGAAAACTAGCCCCCCGAGGCACGAACCTTTAACCAGGTGAGAACCCCTTCGGCAAGCCTAATTGGGGAAAAAGCTGCATGGGCGTAAACTTTCGAAGGGTTCGCACAGGCCCCTGGCACGATCCGCGCGCCAGGGAGAGGGGGCCCAGCGCCAATCCAAGAAGTCCGCGTGGACATCCGACAGTTCGTGCTCATGCAGGTGTTGCTCCTAGAGGAGGGGTGACTGGTAAGCCCGTGCCCAACAAATTGCAAGGACCGGGGAGAGGCGCTCACCGAGCGTATTCTATTCTCCACGGGCCATTGGCCACCCAGCGTGTTGCTGGGATTCGCGAGCATGTTTGGTTTGTTGGGGGAGAGTGCTGTGAGTGCTGGATTGTACCGTGGAGTCCTCAGAGGCGAGAGGGAGAGAGGGACGACGACGATGAGGACGACGAGAAGCAGGAGGAGGAAGACGATGACTACGACGATGAGGACGAAAATGAAAAGACGGACGGCGATGACGACGAGGACGAATATAAACAGGAGGAGGGAGCGGAGGAGGAGAAGGAGGAATACCCCGTGATCTCTCTCGAAGCCCCTGGGAAGCTTCGAAACCCTCAGGGTCCCTTGGGAATCATCGAACCCCCCCATGGACCCCAGAGCCCTCCGGAACACTCCAAACCCTTCCTCCTCTCCTCCATCATCCCTGTTGCCATGACCCCCGCAGTCGCGGACAAGAGTGAGGGGGCGGCGGTCGTCGGCATTTCGCCACACTCGAAGGCACATGTGAAGAGGCCCGCTGCGGGCGCCGATGCTTTCACGCGTCACATAACGATCCCGCCACAGGCGCCGATTCTTTCTCAGAACAGTGCGGGTGGGGGGCGGATGGATCGTCAGCAGGTCGGCGGGCGCCTCGCGCGGTGGGTGGCGGGTGGGCCGCGTGGCGGGTGGCGGTCGGTCGCGGGTGGGTCGTGGCGCGGGTCTCCGGTGGTTCGCGAGGCGGGGCGGGTTGCGGGGTTGGGCGCGGAGCGGGTGACGCGGGTTGGTCGCGGGGCGGGGCTGGCAGTGAGAAGGAGAAGAAGAACATGCATCCGCACCGCGGACCGCACTTCAGCCACGCATCCAAGAACGTGTAAGTCCGCTCGCCCCCCTCATTCTGATAGGTAACTCTATAACTCTTCCGACTTGTGCCAGCAGAAGTGTCGGCAAAATTTGCCAGGTGCTTCGCTGGAGATTTCTTCATCGCTGCTGATCCCGAAGTTTGGGATCTCCAGACTGATTACACGGATGTGAAGCGGGAGGTTGTCAAAATGTTTTTCTCGTAGCGCCGCAGATGCTCGTCGTAGAGGCTAGCAGTCGCAATGTTGGAGCGCGGAGCGGGTGCTACATTTGGCTCTCGCCTTAGCGGCGAGCGCATTCGACTCAAAAGTTCCGATCAGTCTCAAGGATGGTGTTCGGGTTGTTTTCTCAATGCGGCCCTCATGTTAGTGCGCTACCATTCGTCGTGAACAGATTCATCAGTCACAAAGATTGGAGGGGCGGGTCTTTTCCTAAGTGTGGCTCTCACCCTGGCGCCATGCACATTCGACCCAAAAGTTGCGAGCCGTCACGCGGACGGAGGACGGCTCCATTTCAACCACCAATCTCGGATAAGATGTTCTACCATTCCGACCCGAAGGAGGGCGGCCCGCTGTCACGATGCGGTTCACGCGTGAGACTTCCTCAACATACGGCACGGCGTGTAAGCACATTACAGTTGCACGGGAGGAGGAGCAGTTCCTTTTCAAAACGGAGTTCTGGTTCACCACCCCCCAAACCACCCCAACCCAACCTGAAGGCCTCAGCTTGCCCTTCATTTCCAGTGGGGGGGGCAGGGAACATTGAGAAAGCACATATGGAACCCGTACCCCCCCCCACCCGAAATTCGGGTCTTTTGGTTGGATTGGGGTGGTCTGGTAGGCAGTCGTGGTTGGCCTCGTTCTTCATGGTCAGGTCCTGCCGCGTTCCTTGGCACAGGTCCTCTGCAGGATGGGGCCTTCGCCAGAATGGCAGGCATGCGGGGCGCTTTTCTCTCAAGGGGATGTTTTTTTTCCCCGTGCATTACAGCATCGTTGATGCATGTTGTGTTTGTTGCAATCCTCCTCCTCCTCCTCCTCCTCCTCCTGCCCTCCACCATCATCCCGCATCCCTTATCGCTCGATTATCCTTCTCCTCCTCCTCCTCCTCCTCCTCCTCCTCCTCCTCCTCCTCTCATCCCTTCCTCCTCCTCCTCCTCCTCCTCCTCCTCCTTCTCTACTCCTCCTCCTCCTCCTCCGCCTCCTCCTCCTGCCCTCCACCATCATCCCGCCTCCTTTACCGCTCGATTATCCCTCCTCCTCTTCTCCTCTCGTCCCTTCCTCCTCTTCCCTCCCTCCTCCCTCCCCTCCTCCTCTTCCTCATCCTCCTCACCCTTCATCCTCCGTCCTCCCTTCCTCCTCCCTTCTCCTCTCGTCCCTTCTCCTCCCCTCCCTCATCCTCCCCCTCGTCCTCCCATCCTCCCAGGGCGGGGCTCGGGGCACGGGGCCCTCGCAGTGGCCCCCGCCCTGCTCCGCGTGCCCCTTCCTGCAGAGAGCAAGAGGCAGGCAGCACCAAAGTCCGCCCCTCCTCCCTCATCACATTTCCTCCTCCTCCTCCTCCTCCTCCTGCTCCTCCTCCTCCTCCTCCTCCTCCTCCTCCTCCTCCTCATCATCATCATCATCATCATCATCATCACATTTCCTCCTCCTTCTCCTCCTCTTCCTCCTCCTCTTGCTCCTCCTCCTCTTCCTCCTCCTCCTCCTGCTCCTCCTCCTCCTCCTGCTCATCATCATCACCACCATCATCACATTTCCTCCTCATCCTTCTCCTCCTCCGTTCCTGCCGACTCCCCCCTCCTCCCTCTCTCGCCGCGCCCGAGGTTCCCTGGCTTCGGCCTCCGGGCCTCTCCAGGGGCGAGCACGTTTCCCCAGATGCCCAGAGGGAACCTAGCCGTGGCGACGAGGAGGTGCCCAGAGTCCTCGATCCTCGAACCCCCTCGATCCACCTCGTCGTCGTCATCCACCCTCGATCCACCCCTCGATCCCCCCTCGATCCCCCTCGATCCACCCTCGATCCACCCTCGATCCTCGAACCCCCTCGAACCCCCTCGTCATCCACCCTCGATCCACCCTCGATCCTCGAACCCCCTCGAACCCCCTCGATCCACCCCATCTCTCCTCCATGACTGGCCTCAGCAAGCGGGAGAGATGTCGTGGATACGAAACAAATCGCCCTGCCAGCCCGCCCGTTTGTGCAGCTGCGGCACCCTGCAGAGTTCATTCTCGCCCCCTGCTCGCTGTCTTGTCCTGCTCCGGCCCGCCGATTGGAGCGAGTGCACGTTCCATGCGGTACAGTCAAGACGCTCCAATAAGGACAAGGACATGTTCTTGGGGGCACACTTTCTTGTGCCCCCAAGAACATTTGTTGGTGGCGTTTGCCTACCACCCATCGGACAACTCTCCAAAGAGACATACAGCGCTGCAAACTCATCAACCCCACATACCAACTCCGAAAAGACCACCTTGAGGCCATCAAGACGCCCATCACGGTAGGTTGGTGGCGTCGGTGTCTGACCAGCGGCGTACGTGTCGACCAGCGGCGACCCCAGCGCGGACGTTCAAGGTTGAACGCCGCGGGGGACCCAGAATCGTTCGATGGGAGCGATTGGACGTTGCGGAAACGGCCGATCGTCAAGGTTGAACGATCCCTGCGGTGTCAAAAACCAACGCTGGGGTCGGCACGACACAACCAGCCGCAACTGATGTAACCTCAACAGACAGGGCGGAAGTCTCAGCAGGAGAGGCTATGGTTTCGGGGCCCTTTCCTCGAGGTCGGGGGCCCTATTCCCGGCCGGGCGCGCCGTGGCCAGCGAGCTCCTCCGTTCCTCGCCGTGCGCTCCTTGAGGAGGAGGAGGAGGCGGAGGAGGAGGGGAGGAGGAGGAGGAGGAGGAGGGAGGAGGGAGGAGGGAGGAGGGGGAGGAGGGAGGAGGAGGAGGAGGAGGAGGAGGAGGAGGAGGAGGAGGAGGCAGCGGCGACCCCTGGCGCGGGCGTTCACAGCTGAACGCTGGCGAGCTCCTCCGTTCCTCATCGTGCGCTCCTTGTGGTGGCACGGTGGCTGCAGGTCCGTGTCGTGCCGCGGCGACCCCCTTGCGCGGGCGTTCACAGCTGAACGCTTGCCGGTGGCCCAGAATCGGCCGATGTCGGGCGATCAGCGTTATCCGAGAGCCGCGATCGTCCAAGGCGGAACGGCACACGCGGTGGCAGGAGCCAGCGCACAAGTCGTCGTGACGAGAGCCGGCCGCACCCGAGTCCAAACGGAGCCGTGACTCATCTCTCCAGCGGCAGAGTGTGTGGTAGAGTGGGTGCGCTCCGACGGGTGGCAGGCGAGTCGCCGGAGGACGCGGCAGCTGCGGAAGGAGAGGGTTGCCAAGGACAGTCAAGCACCAGGCGGGGGCGGGGCCTTACTCCTCCTCCTCCTCCTCCTCCTCCTCCTCCTCCTCCAGACTCCTGCTGCTCCTCCTCCTCCTCCTCCTCCTCCTCCTCCTCCTTCTCCTCCTCCTCCTACTCATCCTCCTTCTCCGGACTTCTCACTCCTCCTCATCCTCCTCCTCCTTCTCCTCCACACTTCTCACTCATCGAAAGACCCCGCCTTCGAAATGTCACCCGGCGGTGCTCCAGCTGTCGGCGTCGGCGGCCGACGCCGCCGCTAGGCGGACCCGCGTCGGTGTCCCAGTCGGTGCCTGTCCTCGCCTTCCAGGCTCGCGTCTCTCGGGCCGTTTCGTACATTCCGGGCGGATCTCCAGCCTCGGGGCTGTTTTTTTCAAGCGGCTGCGCCCCGCCAAGGGCGGCCGCCGGAGACCAGAGCAGTGGCCCGAAGTCCAGTATTCGGCGCCCCCCATTCTTTCTTCACGCCCCTGCTCTGCATCTCTGTGATCACATATCGCCACGCCGTGATGTCCGATGCGCGGTCCGCGGCCTTGCGTCTTGGGCAGCGCGCCGCGGCCACTAGGGCGTGACCCAATGTTCTCGAGGCCATGCCTTGTCTGTAGTAGCGATGGCGAGTCGCGGGGCGGAGCGGGTCCTCCGTCTGCAGCTGTAGCTGAGGGCGGCATTCCTTGTTTTTGTTGCGTTGCTGATCGAGCGATCGCTGCACGCCGAGAGTGGGGTACAACAGTTGCTCGACGAACTCATCTCTCCACATATATCCAGCGTCTTGAGTTTCTCAATACGGTGTCCCTGGAAGTCCCGACCTTCTTTCCCAGGCCACATGTTCATCCTGAGTTTCTGTTGATTGTATTAGGGCCCAGCAAGGGCCCCTGGAGGCCGAATCATAGTCAATCAAACATCCGTCGTGAGCCTGTCAAGACTCGAGGAGATGTTGTTTTCGGGCCACTCGGGGTTCCGGTGGCCGTTCAGGACCTTCTGGGCACCTTCGGAAGGCCTTCGGCAAGGCGCTGTTGCCGGAAAACACATCAGGATGGAAAACCTCTTCGCCGATGCTCGGTCCTCCTCCTCAGCGTCCTCGATGTTCGATCTCCCTCCTCCTCCTCCTCCTCCTGCTTCCTAGTCCCCCCTTCCCGATCTTCCTCGATCCTCGTCGACCTCGATGCTCGACACTCCTCCCCCCCATTCCACTATCCTCGATTTGTTTTCTTTCTCTTTTCCTTTCTCTTATTATCTTTCTGATTCTTCCTCCTCGTCCTCCTTATCCTCCTCGACCCCGATCTGTTCCCGAGACGTTGGATGTATGGCCCCCTCCCATCTCCAGGCCACCCAAACGGGGTCGCAGTGGATGCGGTCGGCGGATCGCGCCGCATCGCTGACGCATCAGCGGTGCGTCGGTCACGCGCCGGCAGCCTCGGGATTGAGAAGATGGCCTCCGCATCGGGGCTCTATCGCCGAGGCACCGCTTCGGAACACGACGTTCTGCATCTCGACGCCACCGACGCGTCGCCGAGGCACCGCCGATGCGTCAGCAATGCGGCACGAATCTCCGACCCGTCTGCGCAGTCCCCCTCCCGGCGTGAACGGGAGCGGGAGCGCCCCCCGGAGAGAGTTGCAGGCAGCGCCGGCGCCCTCCTCGTCATCCTGGCTGCTCGTTCGTCATCCTCCTCGACGCTCGTGGCTCGATCATCCCCCTCGTCCTCGATGCTCGATCCTCCTTGCCCTCGATGCTGGATGCTCAATCCTCCTCCGTCTCGCCCTCGATGTTCGATCCTCCTCGTCCTCCTTCTCTTTCTCCTCCTCCTCCTCCTCCTCCTCCTCCTCCTCCTCCTCCTCCTCCCCCTCCTCCTCCTCCGTAGCCATTGTGGCTCACGGCGGCGTGCCTTGTCCCACGCTCGCGGCACGTGCCTGTCAGGCTTTCCCCCCTTTCTCGCCCTGCGATGGAACCGCATCTTCTTGTTCGCGATGCATTCCAAGCTGTTGCGGGCGCTCTGAGACGCCTCTGGGCTGAACTTTGACGGCGTGGCGCAGGCTGCTCGGCTGTGCAAGCAGCTCAACCTCTTCGACGGCAGGCTCTCCCCAAAACTCGTCAGCCTTGACTTTGTCTATCACGTCATGCGGCACATTACGCAGTCGTGTGTGGACGCCTTCGCCACCGAGGTGTAGCTGCACCTGGACGCTACCCAACGGAGTCGTCGTCACCGAGATCATGAGCATGCTGTCGTGGTGCCTGATCGTGCTTCCTCGTCTCCGAACAGCCGCAAGGTCACTTTCGCGACGACGGATATCCAGCAGTTCCGAGCAGTTGACGAAACCACCGTCTTCAAGGCGGAGGTGGCCACGACAGCGATGACGATGGATGGTCAGTATTCCCGTCATGATTTTTTCTTCGAACGTGTTGGTGGAGGTCTGAATGCCAACGGCTCGTGCAACACCGCCAACACGCACTGCAAATTACGACACGGATGACAGCAGCGGCGCCAACGGCTTCAGCGCGAATGGCATCTCCAATGCGCTCGCTCACTCCAGCCCGACCGACACCTTCGGCACGGGCCGCCACGTCGGCAGGCACGTCTGCATCGCTGACTCGAATCGCATTTCTGACACGTTCGGCTCCGGCGGCCCGAACGGCACCATCGGCACGGGTCGTCACACGTCTGCATCGCTGGCTCGAATCGCATGTTCGACAAGTTCGGCTCCGGCGGCCCGACCGGCACCTTCGGCACGGGTCGTCACATCGGCAGCATCGCTGGCTCGAATCGCATTTCTGACACGTTCGGCTCCGGCGGCCCGACCGGCACCTTCGGCACGGGTCGTCACATCGGCAGGAACGCCCGCATCGCTGGCTCGAATCGCATGTCTGACACGTTCGGCTCCGGCGGCCCGACCGGCACCTTCGGCACGCACGGCAGCACCAGGGAAAACGGCATCTATGCACAGGGGTGTATGCAACACGTCCAGCATCAACGGCGCAGGCGGCATCCCCCCCGACGCGGGTGTTCTTTTACAGCCAGGTGATTATCCACTATCTGGTATTCTTTCTCAGGTTGCTCCCCTTCCTACTGGCGCTGACCCGTTACGGGCGGATGTCGCGCCTTTCGCTCGCAGCTCCTTCGGCGCGTTCGGCATCGTTGGCTTGAAAGGCATTTCCGACACGCTCGACGACGTCTCCCCGAATTTCACCTTCAGAATGGGGGGCCACATCGGCACGATTGTCTGCATTGGGGCTCGAACGGAATTTCCGGCACGATCGGCAACTGCACCTTCGTCTCGTGCGGCTTCAGTGACTCGGGTGGGCGTGGTGGGGCGTGCCAGAGTTTCAGAGTTTCTTGCCGCCCTCCGTCGGCGGCTCGAGTCCCAAACTGCCGAACGGGCATCGCGTCGGGGCGCCTGCCCGCCGAAGCTGCACCCCCGTCGTGCATCACCACTGCAGGATCAAGCCTTGCCTGACGCTTCGCCATCGGAGGCAGGGCGCAGGGCCTCAGACGCAGCTGAGTGAGGCCCGCCAGCTCACGGCTGAACGCCGCGCACGGTCCGCGGCGCGGCATGCCGCGGAGGCCTGGCGGAGCGAGCTGCAGGCCAATGACCGGGTCCTTCGCGCGATCTCCATCGCGGGTGGGGCCGCCGACACATTGTTCAACATTGCGGGCGCATTCTTGGATTGCTCGGGATGCGCCACATCGGCTGCAATCAAAGACTCCCATCTCATCTCCGTCAGGCAGTGAAGAATGTGCCTGATTTATTTGGGGCTTGTCTGCGAATCTCGCGTCCGCGAGGTTCGTTTCGCTCGCCTCCAGCAGCCTCCTTGCTCAGGCTCTTTCTCCGGCGGCCTTGCTGCCGAGATGCCGACGGAGGCGCCCCGCCTGCGCGTTCTGCCCTGATCTTCATTTGCGGCAGATCCCGCTCGACCACTGCATTGCTGCATCGGCCGATCGAGGCCTCGACGTGGACTAGCGGCCCTCTGCCTCGGGCCGTCTCGAACGTCGCGCGGGCGCGGCGATTTTCGCGCTAGCTCGCCGCGGAAGGGGTCGCCGGCAGAACGAGGCAGCGTCGCTCAGAAAATTGCGGCGGAAGCGAGAGGGGCACTCCACCCCGAAATCAACGATGACGTCGCGCGCGCGCGGCTGCGACGGTGCGCGACGCGATCTGCGCGGGCGCTATGGCCGAGGAGGCGACTGGCGAGGCGGAGGCGCGAGGAAGGTCCGCGACAATTGGGAGGAATCACTCATCCAGAGTTTGCTGGGCGACATGGGCTTGGCTCTCGACGCCACGCGCCGCGGGGCTCTGCCGTCGACGCCCGGGCCTCGGGGGGGCGGCCTTTTACCCTTGGAGGCTTCCGGCAGGAGTAGTGTCCTAGCGCGGCGTCGGCTGCGTCATCGACAATGATTTCGGCTAATTCGGTTTCTCAATTACAAATATATAGGCGCTGGTCGAATGCGTTTTCCCCCGATGGCTTTCGGGCCGGGGCGCGTCTCCGACTGCGTCCTCGTCTCCTTCGGTTTCTGGGTTTTGCTGGGCCTATGGCTCAGAGAGCTGCGCAGTCGCAGGTCGACGACGTTTCGCCGCGTGGAGCAGCAGGGGCAGTGCGCTCTCCATGGGGCGCTCGCTCCTCCCCTTCTTCTCCCCGTAGCGATTTGGCTCAAGACTATGATTTCCCCGGGGGAATTGCGCGCGCCCCGCTGGCTCGCGGCTGCCGTCATCTTTCGGTCAGTCCGTCCAGGCCCGAGACGCAGGCTGGTTCGCCCCGGCGCGCGGCGTCTTCCGCCTGTCGCAGCAGTTCGATGCATGGCGCCGCGGCAAGGCAAAGTCGGGGGCCAGCCCCCCGTCGGGGCGCCTTGCAAGAGGCAGCCCTGGGCGCTGCCGGCGCGGCCCCGAAACTGGGGCGCAGCGCCGCAGCCAACGCGGATGCCTCGAGAATCCAGAGCATTGGGACTGGCGCAATCTCTGCTTCCGTTCGAGGGCCAAGGGCGCGCCGGACAACGCGGGGCCCAGAGAGCCGATGGGGGCGTTTGGCCCAAGCATTCGGAACGCAGGCCGCGGCCGCCCCCCCCTCTGCCGATGGCGGCGACGGCTTTCAAATAGACGCCCCCGCCGCCGACGAGGCACTCCGCGAGCGGCAGCTCGCGGGGAAGATGGGGGATCTCGGTCTCACCGGGCGCAGCGGGCGAATGGCGGCCCAGGGGGACAGGAGGCACCGGGCGCCCCCCTCGGGCCGCTCGAGCGACAGCTGGTCACCCCGTGGCGGGGCCGAGGCACGTTGGCTGGCAAGCGCAGCAATGCCCAATGGCCCTCTGCGCACTAGAGGAGCGGGGGCCGCTTGTCGAGGAGCGCAGAAAGTGGATCCACGAACTCATGTGCCAGCTTAACTGGCCGCCGGCCAGCGCGATGACCAGGCGGCTCGGCCGGGCCGTGCCTGTGCGAAGCGAGAAACGGATTCATATAGATGCGGTTCCGAATCAAAACGAGACGCAACATCGTTGAGTACACTGAAAAACAAGTTCACTGAATCCAAAAACGGATATGCAAATTCGTGGCCATTCGAATTCCGAATCATTGCCGTGACCTGCGCGGCTCGATCATTCAGGGTCGACGACAACGCGGCCACGCGGCAGGGGGGCCTCGAGGAGATGGAGAGGGGGGGGAGCTCCAAGGCAGGATCGCGCACCCGGCCGAGGGGCGCTTCCAGAAGGCGGCGGACGGCGCCAAGAAGCTCAGGGGGGACATCGCAGCGATCGTCTCCATTAAGTGAAGGACCGACGAGCTGGCGAACGCGTCGCCATCTCAGAAGCCTGCCCCTGAGCCTGCCAGCGCGGCCGCGGGTAGCGGCGGCGCCGGTGCCCCTGCGGCCCTGTCGGCGCCGGGGCCCGCCCCCGCCGCGGAGGCGCGCGCGAGTGCCCCGCAGGGTGCCGCCGCCGCCGACGAGGAGAAGGTAGAAGAAGCAGAATGATAAGAAGAAGAAGAAGGTCGCAGCCTCCGCTGCACCCACAGCTGCGGGCCGACCTCTCTGAGCACGACGGGGTCAGCAGGACCGCCCAACGCTTGCGGGGCACTTCTCAACGCTTGCGCGGGGCGTCAGAGCGAGGGGCTGGGGCGGCCGAGCCCAGCCCCGTCAGTGTCGCCGCAGAAGTTTGCCGGAATGCGAGAAAACGCCGCGCGCGCGCGACCGCGGCGCGCGGCCGAACCATTGATCGCCATTGGGTTCGCGTCGCCACAGCTGCAGCAGTCTCGCTGAGAAGATTCGAGAGCAGCTGCATCAACCGAGGAAGAGGGGGCGAGGCCGGGGGCAATCATCCTCAACATATCCCTGCTGAGGAGCGGAAGTCGCCGCCAGCGCCCCACTTGGAGGTTGGCGGCGGTGCTGCGGGATGCGCGGGGGAGCAGCGTCCGTTGGAAACGGACCAGATCGCGGCGAAGCCGCCGTTGTTTGGCCCCGGGTGCTCCTCGAGCCCAGGGCTGATCGAGTCGCTTCAATGCTTCGCTGGAGAGGCTGCGATCAATCGCGAGGGGGCCATCCTGGCCAAGGTCTTGGACGGTCCCGCGAATTTCGCCATCTGCAGATGACTGGTCACTCCCAGCCCCAGGCTGGGCCCGCCATGTCCGGGATTGAAAGGGCCGGGGCGCGGCGCGCCCCGCGCATCCAGGAGATGGCCCTGGAAACTAAGGCAGTGGCAGGAGCGCGCGAATGATCGAGGACAGATTCCCTGAAAGCTGGCGCGGGGCTCAGCCGCTCGCGCGGCAGATGCCTCGGGGGCCTTGCCTGGCGGGGGGGCGCGGAGGGCATTTCCGCGGCGACTGGGGCGTGGGCAGCAGTTTCATTTCTAGCGGCGCCTGGGGAGCTCGCGCAGCGAGTGGTGCTCAGACTCCCCTCCCAGGGCCCCCGGCCCTTCCTGATCGCGTGCCCCGTCCACTGCCTGGTCGGCATCAGCGCCGAGGGCGCCAGCCTCGAGCTGCTTGAGCGGTTCGAGCGCCATCCTCAGTTCTCAGAGGTACCTACTCGTCCTGGGGGGGGGGACTGGAACGCGGCATCCGAAGAGTTGATGGACGCGTGGTGGCTTGACCTGACGCGAGCCGCAGCTTTCTCCTCAGGATCGCCCGCGTGCAGTGGCCGCGAATGTGGTATCCGCGTTAGTTCTCGTGTGTTAGATGCTTTCCCGGCGCAGGCGCGCGCTGCCGTGGCCCCGCAGTTCTCCACGTTCCTCCCCCTTTTTTTCCTCCTTTTCCTCCTCCTCCTTTTCCTCCTCCTCCTCCTCCTCCTCCTCCTCCTCCTCCTCCTCCTCCTCCTCGGCGCTCGATGTCGCGCCTCGCCGCTCGTCCTTCCGTGGGGGCGCGGCAGGTGGCGCCGTCGCGGACGAGGCCCCGCCGGGTCCGCCGGCGGGCGGCGCCGCTGGGAGCCCGCGGCCTGCTGCGGGCGAGCGGCGCGGGGGGCGTTCGCGCGGCGGTGGCGGCTGCAGACCGCCGAGGAAGATCGAGCGTCGAAAATCGAGGCGGGCCCACCCTTCTTCAGAGGGCGAGGATCGGCGCCTAAGGCCCGCTGTGGGGCTCCAGGACGAAAGTCGACCCCTGTGGACAGGTCGGGAACCCACAGGGTCCCTGGCCGGGGAGGATCAAATTTCAAATATCGGAAAGAGCGTGTTTTACCGCTGCTTGCGGAAAACGAGGAGGGGGGGCACTGCGGTTCCCAACCCGTCCCCCCCCCCTCAAAAACCGGGCGGGGGGTCAGTTTTGGTTCGGACTCTCCCTCCTCCCCCCAGTCCATTGTGAAAATGGAAGGGGGGGTCACTACCGGTTCGAAAACCCACCCTCTTTTTTCCTTCGCCGCCAGCAGACGATTTCCGCTCTTCGGGACAGTGGGACAGTGGTGGGAACATCGGGACACTGGTGGGGACGGTGGTGGTGGGGACAGCGGTGTGGGAACAGTTGGGACAGTGGGGATAATCGGACAGTGGTGGGGATGGTGGTGGTGCGGCGGACAGTGGCGAGGGGACAGTGGGACAGCGGCGGGGACACTGGGGACAGCGGGACAGTGGTGGGGACGGTAGTGGTGGGGACAATGGTGAGGGCGGTGGTGAGGAAGGTGATGGGACAATGAGACATTGGTGCAGTGGGAAGAGTGGTGAGGACAGTGGGGACACTGGGACAGTGGGGGGGACAGTGGGACAGCACAGTGGGACAGCGGTGAAGACAGTGGGGACAGTGGGACAATGGTTCGGACAGTGGGGACAGTGTGACAGTGGTGGGGACAACGGGAGAGTGGGACCGTGGTTGGGACAGTGGTGGGGACAATGGGGAAAGTGAGGCGCTGGTGGGGGCACTGGTCGGGACAGTGGTGACAATGGTGGGAACAATGTTGACATTGAGACAGTGGTGGGGACAGTGGAACAGTGGTTGGGACGGTGGTGGTGGGGACAGTGGTGTGGAGACAGAAGGACAGTGGTGGGGACAGTGGGACAGTGGTGGGGACGGTAGTGGGGGGGGATAGTGGTGAGGACGGTGGTGGGACAATGGGACAGTGGTACATGGTGGGGACAGTGGGGACAGTGGTTGGAACAGTGGGATAGCTCATTGGGACAGCGGCGGGGGACAATGGGGACAGTGGAACAGTGGTGGAGACAGTGGGGACAGTGGGACAGTGGTGGGGACAGCGGAGACATGGGGGACAGTGGGACCTTGGTGGGGACAGTGTTGGGGACAATGGGGACAGTGCGACAGTGGTGGGGGCACTGGCGGAGACAGTGGGGACAGTGGTGGGAGCAGTGGGGACACTGGGGCAGTGGTGGTGGGGACGGTGGTGCTGGAGACAGCGGTGAGGGTGGTGGTGAAGACGGTGGTGGGGACCCGGGAGTCGTTTACTGGCACTGGCGGTGAGTGGGGGGGCTCGAACCGGTAGTGATCCCCCCCGTTTTCTGGAGAGAGAGGGGGGGGGTCGAACCGGTATTGACCCCCGTTTTCTGGAGAGAGAGGGGGGAGAGGGGCTAGGGGGGGTGTTCGAGCGGGGGGGGGGATTTTCGGAGGGAGGGGGGGGAACCCCGGATTTTGGAGGAGGCGAGGATTTTCCACAGCAAAGCGGTGGTGGATCACGCTTTCTCCAATATCGAGGGTCGAGGACGAGGAAATTGAGGATCGAACATCGACAACCGCGGGGGAAGATGCGGCGAAGAGTCGACGGGGATCGAGTATCGAGGATCGAGGGGGAGGATTGAGGATCGATGATCGAGAAGGGGGATGCGGCGGAGAGTCGACGGGGATCGAACATCGAGGGGGAGGAGGAGGGGGAGGAGGATACGGGTATATTAGCATCAATGGTTATGATCAGTAATATTACGAAATCTAATAATAATAATAATAATACGAAGCATCTTGGTACTAATAATAGTAGTACCCACCATGCTAGCAATACCCATACTAATAACAATGATAATGCTGCTACAGCTGGCCATGACAATAATTGTACTACGAATCAAAATATCCGTAGTGTTCGGAAAAACGAGGGTACCAAAATTGGTACATCTAACCATAGTACGGATCACAAGGTTAATAGTTAACGAGAGCAAATCATAATACTAACAGAACAACAAATATCGTAATAGCAAGGATACTGATGCTAATACGGGAACTAATATTGATACTAATACTCATGCGAATGCGAATGCTAATACTTCTTTGTTAAACTGCCACGCCGCATCGTTCGAAGAAAAAATAAGCGAGACTGAATAGCGCCTTCTCTCTCAAAGCCGGCCGATGCTTGTGGAGGCGCTTCTGCTTAGGAGCGACCGTGACCAGCCACCGCGGGAGGCGCGGCAGGGGGTGAGGGGCTCCAGGCTCTGCCCAGGGGAGCGGGCAGGCCCAAAGCTCCCTCGGTCCCACCACCCTACACAAGATCACTCGTGTAAACTGCCAGGGGGGAGGGATGGAGGGAGGACGAGGACGAGGGGAAGAAGGGGGAAGGCAGACCGCACGGTCCAACATGGAAGCCGAAACCGCGCTATGTAAAAACAAGCGCTCGGCATGCTCGACGGCCACTGGCTCATCGCCGCCAGCTTTCGAGAAACCCAATTGTAGAAATGTCTCTTGTCCCCGGCGCTCGAGGTCTCCTCGAACTAATACTTCGATTGATAAAACCACGAACGTAATAGTAATACGCATATTTCAATACTAACAACAATAACAATCAAAACACACATAATAGGATTGATGACGTTAATCGCAATACTCGTACTAATACGGTTCATAATAGTATTACGATCGAACATCGGAAAAGGAGGAGGAGGAAGAGGGGGAGGAGTACCGAGCATCCAGAAGGAGGAGGGGGAGGAGGAGGAGGAGGAGGAGGAGGAGGAGGAGGAGGAAAAGGAGGACGAGGAGCAGGAGGAGAAGGAGGACGAGGAGGAGGAGGAGGAGGAGGAGGAGGTAGAGCGATCATCGTGTGCCCTCCAGCAGGTGCGCCTCGCCAAGGGCTTCTGATCTGTCCAGATCGTTCCGAACGGCCGCTGGAGGCCCGAGTTTTGACCCGAAAGTCAGGCCCCTTCGCGTCGTGAGAAAAATGAGGGGGGCTCTTGGCCGTTATCGGTCTCTGGGGCCAGGGCTGTCAAACATCGGCTTAGAAGAAGTGTTCCACGGGAGAGTTGAAAAGGATCAAGCAGCGGGGACGAGGGCCCCCACTTCGCCGCGTCGCGAAAAAAACACGACTGGAGATGCTTGCGCATCTTCTCCCTCTGAGAGCGTTCCTTCTCATCCGTGGGTGTTGCTCCTCTTATTCATGTATTGATACGTTCGTCCCATCCTCCTCTCTTCTTCCTTCTCCTCCTCATCCCGTTCCTCGTTGCCTTGCCCCTTGGCTGCGGGGCATCTGCAGACCCAGAGCCTGGGACCCCCTGTGGATACGAGGGGCCACGGATTGCCTGCGCGGCAAGCGGAGTCGGCCGTGTGCTCGTTCGCTCCTTCTCGTCTCCCTCGTCGTTGTCGCCCTCGTCGCCGTCGTCGCTGGCGGCGTCGTCGTCGTCTTGTTGCCCTCGTCGGCGGCGTGGTCGTCGAAGGGGCTTCGGTGGAGTACCAGGTGGCTTGGCGGAACAACCAGGATCGAGGCCCCAGTGGAGGGGCCGTCCTGGGGCCAGCCGCGGCCGCGGGACCTCCCTGGAGCCCCCTCCGGGCGGCCATACTGGGGCCACCTTGGCCTCAGGATGGCCACCTTCCTTGAGGCCCAACGTTGCGAAACAGATCCAGCATCGTGAGAAACTCGACCGGAGCCCTGGGCCCCAGGCTCGCAAGACGTTCTTCGAGCGGGATCGATCTGTGATGCTCCAGGGGCCCGAATGCAGGCGAGAACGTCCAGCGCGAAGACGTGGCAACGCGCGCATCCCAGGGCTGGCTGCCTTGGCCTCCGGATGGCCGTCTGCGCCCCCTGCGGGCTCGCCCGGGGCGGCCACGGCCCTGCCGCGCGAGCGCGCGAGCGCGCGTGCCAGCGCGCGTGCCCGAAGGATTGCAAAATAAACCAAGGATTGCAAAAAAAAAAAAAACCAAGGATTGCAAAAAACAACCCTTGTTTTTTTTGCAATCCTTCACCCAAGGGTTTTTTTGCAATCCTTGGTTCTTTTTGCAATCCTGGTTTTTTTTTGCAATCCTCGGCAGCCGAGGTGAGCCGGCAGAGGCGCCCGCCTCCGAGGAGCCCGCCGGCGGCGGAGCGGGCGACTCCGCGCCCTCGGCGGACGGCTCGGAGGATCGGGGGCAACGATCGGGGGAGCGTAAGACCCGGGTTTGCCAGGACTCGGTTTCGCCATCGTTTTTTGACGACCGCGACTCGGATTTTGACGAGTAGCGGGAGGCCTCGTCAAAATGCAGGCTCGGCCTCGTCATTTTTTTGGCGACCTCGTCGGGGATTTCCGAGTCCCCTGTACCCGGGTCTTACGCCCCCCTGAAACGACAGGAGGGGACAGGCCCAGACATTCAGGGGATCGGTATCGTGGAACCAATCCCCAGTCCCCTCCCCATCCCCTTCGAGACCCCCACCAAAGTACCACCCAAGTTGGGAGGTACACCCCTCGAAACCCGAAGGGCACGACCTATATCCCCATCCAGCGGGGTAGGTCGACCAGTGGGGCCCAGGCCACGCCGCTGGCGATGGGGATCGGCGAAAGGATACTCAGGGGATGATGAAGTGCCGGTACCGCTGCTCGCCCTGGAGCTCGGAGACTCGAGGATGGGGTCCTGAGGGATGGGGTCCTATGGGTAGGAAGGGGCTCCAGGGTGAATTTACCTTGTTTGAGGAACCTCGTCCTTGAGACCCCATCCTTCAGGGCCCCATCTTTGAACCACCGAGGAGAGTTCCTCGTCACCACGGCTGGATTGTCCTCGAAATTCTGGTCAGAGCACACCCCGGGTGAGGTCCAGGGAGCTTCGGTAGTGGCTCTCCCAAAACACGCTCGTTTCGTAAACAAAAAGTGCGACAGGAGGTCTTTGGCAGTTTTCTGCCTCGCGGGACCCTTGCAGGGATCGGGGGCCGTCAGAAATCGGCTCGGGGAGAAGAACCAGCCCGGGGTAGGGGGTCGGGACTTCTGGGGGTCGGGACTTCTGTGGACCCCGTATTGGACACATCAAGACGTCGGATGTCTGGGGGCTCAGGAGCGGAAGCATCGGCGCGCAACCGCGCATTCATCGCCCATAGGGGCCCGATAGGCCACCCCCGCCCAGGAACGTGCGGTTTCATGATCGGTCACCTGTCGCCGAGCTATCGGCGATGCATCGCCGAGGCGATGCTCCCCCGCCCCCATGAGCCGGTCCCCCGCTGTCGTTACCTGTCAGAGAGGAGGGCTCCAGCACCGACGACGGCGGCCTGGGCTCCTTCTTCAAGGCCGCGGGGGGTCTCGCCTGCGCCGTGCCCCCCCCCCCCCCCCCCCTCTTGCCAGATTTAGGAACTGCGAGTGGACGCAGCACTATCTGGTTATTTAATCGCTTCGCTCATGCCGCCGGCCCTGGAGCCCTCTTTAGGGCCTCTTGGGGGCCTCTTGGGGACCTCTTGGGAGTCTCTTGGGGCTCCTTGGCGGCGTTTTGGAGGCCCCCAGGGCCTCTTGGGGGGCTCTTGGGGGTAGTCGATTGCGGCTCCCCCCTCGGAGGCCACGATCCTCGTGAGGGGTGTCGAAAAATACCCTCCCCTGGAGTGGTCTGGTGGCTTCTCCCGGGCTTCTCTCGGGACCTTGCCGGGGTACTTTTCGTCCGGGGGCCCCCAGGGGCCGCTCCGCGCGCGCGAACTAGAAATATTG